GAAAAATAAATATAGAGACCAGTTGTTTTTCTGTTGTCTGTGTTGGAAAAAATATGGCTGATTTTACATTGTTTTTGGTACCTTAAATGTAAATATCTCTTTGAAGGAGAAACATAATTCTTCATGTTGTTACTGGTGGATAAAATCATCTTTTGTTGTTACTATTATTGTATAACTGCCAAAAAGATACAAAGAAAAAATTTAAATGGAATGTTATATAATTTTTATTATTGTATAAAAAGCATTAGAGCCATGAGGCGAGGTGGCACACACCCGTAATCTGAGCTACTAGGGAGGCCAGAACAGGAGGATCAGAAGTTTAAGACCAGCCCAAGCAACTTAGTGAGATCCTGTCTCAAAATACGGTAAAAAGACCAGAACCCTCAAGAGCCAAAAAATAAAGAAGCTTTATAAGCAGATAGTAGAAACAAAACTGAAAAACAAAAAGCAGACGTGAAAACAGGGCCAGAATGTCATAAGCTGATTCCTGCCTCTCTTGATTGATTAACTCCATGACCTGGAGCACCAGGCAGGTGGTCCCCATCCTGAAGGTGAGCTGGCCCAAGCTCATTTGTCATACTGTGATAAGCAAAATAAAAGCAGTAACTGACAAAAACAGAAAAAGGAAGAGCCCTGTCTAAGGATGCAAATATACTTCTGCTTTCTTGCTGAAAAAGAAAATTGCCACAACTAAATTTTAACCTTGTCTTCTAGCCCAGTTCCTCAGAACTGAAATGGGATTGCCTGTGCGGAGGGTTGAGATTATAGGCTTTTGTCTGCAATGATTCTGAGGTCCTCAGGGGAAAAATAAAAAGGAACAAGAGTAATTTTTTTGTTGTTATTTAATTTATGTATTTGGTACAGGGTCTCACTATGCAGCTTGAATTTGCAGTGATTCTCCTGTTTTCAGCCTCCCCAGCACCGGGATTACAGGCGGTGCCACCACGCCTGGACTCAGTTGTCGGCTCAGTGTGCCCATCGCCAGGGCTGGCATGGCATTTGATGCCAGGAATCGAACCCCAGTCCCTGAGCTTGCCTAAGCAGGCTTCTTATCTACTGAGCTATCTTGCTGGCCTGAACAAGAGTAATTTAACAGCACTCCCAATAATGAGAATTCAAGGAAAGCCAGAGAATACCCCAGAGAACTTTTTCTCTTGGGACTCCCTTAGGAAGACGTACCCCTAAAGCCAAGGAGAGGGTGCACCAAGATTTTACTGGGAGCTTAGTGATTGCCCATTACTTTTCCCAGGTTTCCAATAAAAACACATAGAATTTCTGTTCATGTAATTGAAGGGAGAATGTGCTTCATGTTTCTTATTCATTTACACTTCAGTCATCAAAATATTGATTTCAAGAGTTATTTGAAGTATAAAAACCAAACAGAAAACTTACAGAATATTCTTAATAAAGCTTAGCAAAAGTCTGTGCCTCCATCCCATAGCTTTGCCTGAAGAGCAGAGAAAGGGATTTGGGTCAGACTAAAGAGATAAATTTAAATAAGTTAAGATTATCAACCCATTGAGTTCAAAGCAGGATCCAAACTTCCCAAGCACTTTTAAGCTTGCCCTGGTGACAGCTGGAATCACTGGCATCTCTCCGGTGAATTCCTCACTGCAAAAGGATACTAGAAATTTGTAGATACAGATTTTGAAAAAGCAAAAAATGGTCACTGAGTTAGGTGACTGGATTGGATTGAAAGATTTAGACCAGAGGCATGGCTGAGAAATAAAATGATGAACTCGAATAGCAGACATGTTGATAAAATGCTAAACTTGGGGTGGAGGTGCCAGGGTGGCAACAGAGGCTTTTCCTGCGACAGGTCATCCAGAAAGTCCCTAAGGGTTTCTGGTTTAATGAAGTAAAGCAGTATTAGGAGTGGAGTTCGCTGGAGGAAGCAAGTCTTTCCAAAATCAGATTGAGCTGTACAAGCCATTCATAGTTTCCAGCAAAACTGAATCGGTCCCTGGCACCACAAGCTGTGCTGGCCCCGCCCCCGAGGTGCACTGAGACAGCAACTGAGACTGGGCGTGGTGGCCAAGCCTGTAATCCCAGAGCTTGGGAGGCCGAAAACAGGAAGATCACTATGAGTCCAATCTATGTAGTGAGGCCCTGGAGACCCCCTACTAAATACATTTTAAAAAAAAGAAGAAGAAGAAAAGAAAACTACTGAATCAGGTCTTCAATAAAGCATTCTGAAGTAAGATGGAAAAGCTTTTGACTGTCAGGGAAGAAAGAAGGAAGCAGATGTTGCCAAGCCCTTTGGGGCTACATGTACACAACAGGAATCAGGCAAAGAGGACACCGAGTGGCGAGGTTTGCCTGAACTGCAGAATGCGCCGTCTATTTAAGGACAAACACAAGGCATCTGCTACCCTGCAGAGCACCCCTAAGGAGCTCCCATCAAAGCTCCAGGAGAAACCAAGCTTGCTGATACCTTGACTTTAGATTCTACCCTCCACAACTATTAAGAAAATAAATTTCTGTTATTTGAAATTACAGCGTTCATGGCAATTTGTTACAATTCCTCTGGGAAACTGATCCAGAAGCTGGAAGTGGCAAGACAGTGCTAAGGACTGAAGTCACTAGGAGAAAGAAAGAAAAATAAATAAATAAATAAAGTCTGGTACATAGGCTTGATTTGAATGTAGGGATAAGGAGGGTTAAGACAAAGAAATAAGGAAAACTCCATTACTTTTTATTTAACAAACAGAAACACATAGGTTATTATGTTCCGTGAGCTAATCTAAGTCCTTTGCAAAAATTAACTCGTGGCTGGATGAGATGGCACATGCTTGCCTGTCCTCCCGGCTGTTCAGCAGGCTGTCAAATCTGATGGTAGGGGCCGGGGAGATGGCTCAGTGGAATAAGTGCTTTCCTAGCAAGTGCAAGGGTCTGAGTTCAATCCCTGGTAAAAAAAAAAAAAAAAAAAAAAAACGAAAGAAAAAGGAAGAAGTTAAATCTGATGGTAGCCTGGGCAACTTAAAAATAATAATGCTGGGCATGGTGGCACATGCCTGTAATCTCAGCACTCGGAAGGCTGAGGCAGGAGGATCCTTGCAGGTTCAAGACCAATCGGGGCTACAAAGTGAGCTCAAGGTCAGCCTGAACTGCATAGTGAAACCCTGTCTCAAAAATAAAATAAACTTAAATAGAATAAGTATTTTTAAATAAAATTTGAAAAGGTTCTGGGATATAGCTCATCTTTTCCTGGGTTCAACTCTCAGTACTGAGGGATAAAATGTTATTTAATCCTCAAATAACTCTAAAAGGTAGAGATCACACTTATTTATTCTCACCTTATAGGTGAGGAGACTGAGGCAAAGGGAGATTAAATGACTTGACCAGAATTGCACAGCTGAACAGAGGCAGAGCCAGGGCCTAAACCTTAGCAGTTTTGTCCTCAAGTTTGAGTTCCTAAATATCATATGGTGCAGCCTCATTTCCTTAAACATTTAAGAATTATAATCCCTACTCTTTCTCTTCCCCAACCCCTTATATATGGAAGTGAAAATGTAGATGTTCCCACATTATTGAGAGTCTAGGCTCCCTAGGAACCCACAGACCAGAGGCTGCAGGCAGTGCTTCTGGTCTGGGCTGGTGTTTGGCAACTCACCCAGAGGACAGACCCTGTGGAGTACCACCTGGGTGGCTGTCCTTGAAAAAGGAGCAATTGTCTCCATTTTGGCTGAGCCTGACCCTACTTTCATGTATTACCACGTATAGAGCTGGCTAGGACTTTTCCTTATCCCTTCAACTGGCCTTAAGCAATGCATATAGGTCCAGCTGAGGAGCTGGTGGTAGTCTTTGAAGATGGCATCTGTGTTTCCCCAGAACTCCCACCTGCTGCTCCCTGGTGTGAGCTGGGAAGAGACAGGATGAAGTGCCAATGCTAGAATCGAGTTTCCAGGTACAGGATATGGCTTCCTGGAGCTTGAAAGATGACGCCCCAGGGCTGAAGCACCCACCCCAAAGCACTAGATACTACCTCAGTTGTGCTGTGCAGATTACTCTTTCTGCATATCCTTCTCTGCACATTGTAGAGGTGATTTCAGGCCTCCTACTTAGCCCAGCTCAAAGCACTCACCTACTTCCTGTCATTCTCACAGTCACTCATCTTTAAGCTACTCGCTTCTGCTCAAATGAATAAAATCTGGGTTTGGTCCTGGGTAAAGGCCTTTGTTGCAGATAGCTATCATCATGGCTGGACTTTGGACCCCATG